CTTACATTTAAATAGTCTCCTTCACGACTCAATGTGCCATCTTGAAAGGTAGTCATGAAATGCCGTGAAGCGAGACGACGTTGAGCGTGCAGTTATAGGCCTTCTTTCATACTTAGAGGCAATAGCCGACTTGCGAATTACGCATCAATAGTCACATACAAAGGAATCAAGACGAGGCGCCGTGCTTTTTTGTGAAAAATCTATTGTCTTTAGCACGGCGCCTCGTCTTGATTCCTTTGTATGTGACTATTGATGCGTAATTCGCAAGTCGGCTATTGCCTCTAAGTATGAAAGAAGGCCTATAACTGCACGCTCAACGTCGTCTCGCTTCACGGCATTTCATGACTACCTTTCAAGATGGCACATTGAGTCGTGAAGGAGACTATTTAAATGTAAGGTGCACATTTTTAAAATACATTAAGATAAATCTCAGTAAAAATTAAAAAAATATATAATTTTATAAAATATTTTTAGTAATTTTTTTTTGAAATTTTAATGTATTAAAATACATGTTACCTCTCATTCTAATTGTTGACTGGGACGCCATATGTGACTGCAGTTTTTATGTTTTGTTTTTTCCTCTTGCTTTGGGGGGTTTTCCGTGTCTACCAGTGTCCAGTTCTTATAACGTAAGGATGTTAGAAAATAGTAGTTATAGGAAGATCCATTCGACAAACATACAAATTGTTCATCAAAACTTCTGTTAGACTCGTAGTTTGTTAAAGTGCTACTTGCATGAAAATGCTCTTATTTCAAAACTTCAAGAAATACAAATATACGACTCATTTATATCTATCAAAAACAATTGCGGGAAAATATTAGTTTTGGAATAATCCCACGTCAGAGAAATTTTTGATTCAAAAGATGGAAGAACAAAAGGATTGAGTAAATGACGTCATTTACTCCAACATTTTTTTGCCTAAATTATCAAGGATTTGTATCAATATCTTCTTGAAATCTGTTGCTTCGTGATTATTAGACCCATATGGATAGGTCTATTTGATTTCCAAGTCTTTTCTGATGTTTCGTAATTTTCGTCCAAGTAGCCCTTTAAAGTTTTTGTTCTTCAAATCCTTAGTGAATAACTTTTTTCCCATATATTCCAGGTGCTCGTGGCGTGCCTTTGCAGTCAGTAGTGAAGTTCATCAAACTTGCATTCAACTCTGAACAATGGGATACGTTTAACACGCTGGTACATCAAACACTGGACCTGCTCAAGAACCAAGAGAACCCCGTTAGTCTTTTAGATATCAAGACATTAGAACTGATGCTAGCACTAGAACCGTTCTACAGTAATATCAAAAAACCTAAGAAAAGTNTAGTACGAGACGGTATGTGATTTATATGTTTGTTTTTGTGCCAAGGGTGCCGAGTAATGCAGTACCAATTGAAACCTGCTTTTTGATTGCTCCTTAAGTACAGCACCACTATTGTCAGGTTAGGTTTTGTTATATTGTTGGAAGACTTATCTATTGTTTGTCCATTGTTTTCTCAACCTATCATGAGACCCGTTCCGAGCGGTGCTACCTGGCTCAGGGTGCCTGGAATGCTTGCAAGTCTGTTTCAAATTTTTACAGTATTCTTCTTCACGGTTCCCTGCGCCATCTTGAAAGGTAGCTGCGCCTTTGCATCGAAGCGAGACGACCAGTGAGCGTGCAATGATCATGATAGAAACCTGTGTAAGTATGAAAGACGGTTTTTATAATTGCACGTTCAACGTCGTCTTGCTTCACGGGATTTCACTGCTACCATTCAAGATGGAATCGCGAAGCTGACTATTTAATGGTGCATTATCCAATACCTGTTACCTGTCTGTTGAATTTTCGACTGGGACGCCATATTTCACTTCAATTTTTTTCGTTTTCTTTTGCTTTGAGGGATTTTCCGTGTTTGCCAGTTTCCAGTTTCTTCTCTTTAAATAAAATTTGTGGTTAAAAAACGATAATAGTTTATAAGTGTGAAGATCGTCTGGACAAGCATACAATTGTACATCAGAGCTTCTGTTACTCGTAGTTTGTTTTCGTTCTTCAAATTCTTAATGAATAACCTTTCTCACACACCACTGGGAGCTTATTGTCTAGCTGACTACCACAAACAGGCTATAGAATAACTTTTTTCTATATATTCTTCGTTTTCACTATACGTCACAGCGGTTATCTTGGAGGAACTTCAACAAACGATTTCTCATTAGTATCTACTTTCATTCCTCCAACATGGCGGCCGTCAGTTTTCACTATACGTCACAGCGACCATCTTGGAGGAACTTCAACAAAGGATTTCTCATTAGTATCTATTGTTCATTCCTCCAACATGGCCGCCAGTCTTTTATCTTTTGAATCTCATGGGAATCGTTGAAAACGATCTATTGCAGGTGCTCGTGGCGTGCCTTTGCAGTCAGTAGTGAAGTTCATCAAACTTGCATTCAACTCTGAACAATGGGATACCTTTAACACCCTGGTACATCAAACATTGGACCTGCTCAAGAACCAAGAGAACCCCGTTAGTCTTTTAGATATCAAGACATTAGAACTGATGCTAGCACTTGAACCGTTCTACAGTAATATCAAAAAACCTAAGAAAAGTCCTAGTCATGGTGCAGTGGACGAGAGCATTGATCATCATACTCACCAAGGTATGTACACGTACAAATACAGATAATGAGCTGAACTGATACCTGAAAATATTTTCTCTTGGCTAGCTATTAGTACTTCGAGTTATTTCTGTCTCAAAATCGTCAAAAAGTAGCTGTGAGGAGTGTTGTATGCTAAAACAGTCAATGTTGAGGTAGAGTGGGTGAGTCTGAATCTCCCTAATTAGTACGACACTTGTTGTCTGACGAGAGCGATTGATTAATAAAGTTGTTTATTTATTTATTTATTTGGTTTTGTATTGCTAATATCCTGAAGCCTTTTTTTCTATAAAACAAAGAACAAATTGGCGTTTTAAAGTAGCTGTTCTCCTTACATTGATCGTGAAAGGAGCGCACGTCATCATTTTGTTCAAAAGTTAATTGTTTTAAAGAGAAATCCTTTATTGACATTTTCATGTTTATAATTAAGTATCAGGAGCGTTGTTTTTAGTATTATTTCTTTATTTTTTTCAGGAAAAGGGAGCTCTACAATGGATGATTTGATGTTTTTGGCTGACACACTACACTCATGTTCTCTTGAACCTTTCAAGGTATTACACATAGCAAAGCTTTTATGAATACAAGGATTCCTGCTCCGAGAGAAGCAAAGTCGTTCAAAATCGCCGAAAATTACTTTAAATTTCAAACCGCAACCGCACAGCCAATTTAGCGGATCCGTTTAAAGCGATCATATTTACATCGTGAGCCAGTCGCTAAGGATGGTTGAAGATAACGTTAAATTCGAAAAGGCATAAATGTAATGATCTAATAAAAGTTGATATTTTTGTAGTCTGTCATTGGTCACATGGACCCCAATATGGTCATTGATGCAGCGCTTTTCCTGTGGTCTAAATGCAAAATACAGTTCCAGAGAGTTGTCTCGGCATCGATGGAAGGCTGTAAGTTTGTGCTGAATGACAAGGAGGCGAACAAGGCAAGTGTCATCTTTCTTTATTAATTATATAGCCACATATTAATCCCAAATAGGTAAAACCTGGATTTTTCGTTAATTTTGGAATCCTGTCCAATTAATTGGACAGGTTTTAAATTGGGTTTTTGTTAAAAGCTGTGGTTGGCTTTTACCTATTTGGGATCAATATGTGGCTATATGATTAATAGGTAATAAGACTCCATGCTGTCCAATTAAGAAATAATTAGACTCGAAAAATTCCTCTGACTGCCAAATTGGACTCGGCCACGGCC